GCATATGTGTATGTATACTTACTTGTGGCTACTATGGGCGTCGTAAAGCAAATTGGGTTGTTAAAGTGTTGGCTCTAGAATGCTTCATCGTCATAATGGAGCTGCTCAGAGTCTAGCATGCATGTTTTGAGATCTAAGCCATCATTCTTTCTATCTCACATCTCATCGCAACATAATCTTGTGTCGGTTACATTTCCCTACAGATAAAATGCTGCAGAATGCGGACTTGGCAGATATCCCCCTGCTGATTTTGGTAAACAAACTGGACGTTCCTGATCCCGTACCACTGGCAGATATCAATGCTATGTTCTCTACATTTGCCAGTGTAATCGGTGACCGGCCTGCAAGGGTGCATCCTATATCCGCAATGACAGGGTGTGTAGCAATATATACTAATATATGTATGCTTTTGCTTGTGAGTTGTCTTTTGTGTTCTACACTGATGCGAGTCTGGCATCGAACATAATTTTCACGAGTACTATGTAGTTGTTTGTGTAGACATGGTTTGTTCATGGGCGGTGGCGTGATGTGAAATCAATTTACAACGAGCCCTTTTCGAAGTTTGACGTCATGTCACAAGCAAGTTTGCGAATGTATGCATCCTGTGTATGGGTTTTCATATGCTAGATTATGATTGAGTTTCGCACTATACTCGCTTGCTAATACCGATTCGGTCCGCTGTGGGAACACTATTGGAACTAAAGTTGTTCCCCTTAGAAAGTGTCTCTGGTTAACCATTCAATTTCACAGCATTGAGTATGCCTGACAATCAGGTATCTGTCACGGCTTTTGTTTGATATGAATGGAGTATACAAACTATGTATAAATACGCAGTCATCTTTTGGTAGCGGTGATTCGTTCAGTCAAATGCGTAATACTTGCACTCAAAACACACGTGATTCTAGAGAAAAAATAAATAAGATTGTTTTGTCAGCTTTGCTCACTCGTATCCGTCTTTGCCTGCTACAGAGACAACTGCAAGGAAGGGGTGGAATGGCTGGTATCATGCCTGAAGCTGAACATTCGACAACCAAACCAACCCAGTATCTCTTAACGATGATGCACGGGAAATAAATAAATAGTATAACATTATTTAGAATGAGATGGAATGAAGATAATTGAGCGAAGCATCATATGTTAAAATGCATTTTATAAATTTCATCATGGGAGTTCATATCCATACAAAACAAGTTGGCTATATCAGCGCATGCTCTACGTAACTGCCATTATTGCAAACTCGCGTTACTTTTTAAACTATTGAGTGCGAATCAGAGAGATTCTCGAATAGCAAAGTTAGAGAAAACCAAAACTACCCACAATTGCATATCAATAGGTATGAAGGTTTGTATCAAGAATCGGATGTCCACATGGCGGATACAATTCTACAAGTAAAATAATATCGAACATACAGAGCTGATTCCGAAATATGGTGCCGCTTACGAAACGCCAGCTCTTTTCTGCTAATACGATCTTTGATACAGCCTTATGCGTTTTATTCGGATGTACAGCTCATATTTTGAAGTGCCCAAAGGATGGTCAATCGGGAAAGCTGCGTAAAAATATATATACTTCTCGACCCTTCTCGCTACTTTAGTGCACACATGTGTGTGTACACACACATACACACACACTCTCTCTCTCTACATATAGAGCCAGAGATGGTAGAGATAGAGTAGAGTGAAGGGATACGAGTCCCTTTTTTAACAGTAAGTTGTTGAATTTTTAAAGAGGCTATGTATGCAGTTGTGGACAATTGTACGATATACATAGACAGTTAGACTCCGAATGTGCATTTCCACTATGCATGTAAATACTTATGTCTTGAAATGTATGTTATCCTTTTTGAGATTTTCCAAAAGTTTTAAATTGAGACAAAAGAAATACATACTGTAGTTACATTGTTGCAAGATTTGAACAAGCAAGTGAAGCATCTCAATTTATTTTGACCTCACAAATCACAATTAACAATTTGGCATAGACGCATTTCACATTTGCGACCGTCTTTTAGACCCTTCAGCTGTCAGTACATACCTAAGAGCATGTGCCACACACCTTTGTGCTCATTGGATACGCAATTCGAATATCCCTCCATGATTGGTATAGAGTGTTTGAAATATCACGACTGTTTTCATTTAAATATTTGGCGGGAGTTGGAGAACCGAGAGCTTTCTTAGAGTATTTTGGAGCTTTTTTAGAGTAGCTCCGAGCTTTTATGGAGCAATATCTCTGATAAACGGGATTAAAAACGATAAGGGGAAAACAAAAGTCAATGAAAGAGTAAAATTCCAAAATTTGACTATACTGCAGTGCATTTCCCAAATATTTCTACCAATTAATTCGGGACATGCCAGCGATGCCACATGTATGTATGTCTGTGCGAGGCTGCCGCTGTGAGCCAGTGAGCTGCTATATATCTCCGTCAAAACTCAAAAGTCAAAACTCACAATCCGTATTGAACTGGGGGCGACTATTTAAAAAATAATACATTTGTATTGAATCACTCTATGATGATTGATGAATCAGTATTCACTCAGAACTCGGAACTCTGAAGTGTGAACTCACTGATGACTGAACTGCGAACTCTCCGAGTCTCTTCTCTCTTCTTCTTGTTACATACTTGTTTTTTAATGTTGTGAGCTCAGAACTTCAGAAGTCAGAACTGTAGAAGTAAATAATTATTTTTTATTTTAAATTTAGAAGTCGTGTGACTGTGCGACTGTGAGACTGTGCGACTGTGAGACTGTGCGACTGTGAGACTGTGAGACTGTGAGACTGTGCGACTGTGCGACTGTGAGACTGTGAGACTGTGAGACTGTGAGACTGTGAGACTGTGAGACTGTGAGACTGTGAGACTGTGAGACTGTGAGACTGTGAGACTGTGAGACTGTGAGACTGTGAGACTGTGAGACTGAGACTGTGAGACTGTTAGTCCGTGGACGTGAGTCTGTGACTGTGGACTGTGGAGTGTGGAACTGTGGACTGTGGACACTGGCTGGATAGTGACTGTGAGAGAGTGAGTCCGTGAGTCTGTGACTGTAAGTGTGGACTGCAGACTGTGGAGTGTGGACAGCGACTGTCAGGAGTGTCAGCGAGTCAGCGACTGTGAGAGTGTGATTCTGTGCCTCTGACAGGGACTGTGAGACTGTGAGTCGTGTCTCTGTGACAACTGACAGTATTCCAAAGTGTTCCGCTGTTCTGATTGTTCTCAGAGACTCGGACTCTTCTCTTCTCTGTTGTGTGAGACTTCTGAGTTCTGACTTTAACATCTCAGTTGAGTCAGTTCTGAGTTCCTCCTTAGTTCTCACTGTTCTGTTCGAATGTGCACAGTTGCTCATGAACCACATTTCTGTTTTTTTTGGTTTTTTTAAAAACAAACCAAAAAAAACTTTTATTTTTAAAATCATGACACGATTATGACGTCCAACTTTTGTGAGTTTTACGAAAAAGAACTCTACAATGTATTCCAAAATATATTTCGATAGATTTTAAAAATAGAGCCGAAAATTTCAAATATATCTATAGAGAATTTAGATCATAAATCGAATATCTTCTAGTGTGGATTTGGATGCTCGCTAGCCTCTTGTGCAGTTTGGAACTGTGTATCGTTTTTCTTTCAGAATTTAGGGCCAGAATTTTTCTAGAATGGGGTTCCTTTTTCTCTCACTTGTACTCAGCATGATGATTTTAAATATGACTATTTTATATATATAAAACAATATATTTTTGTTTTTAGAAAAAGACCTATATGTTATTACTGTACAAGTGAACATCATATATAGATATTTTTAAAAGTACATTTATATGTCGTGCGTGCCGCTTGGTGTGCTAACCGCATCTCAATACGTACGGTTGCGGGCACCGGCAAACTACACAGCTGTGCGCTATGGTAAGTGCCGTTGTACACGTTCATATGCATGTATATATCAGATGCACAATCTTATGTCAGTCATATTTTGTAATACGTATTCGTATCGATAGACTACTTCTTGCCTTGTAATACTTTTTTGGCCTATCCCAACTGTTGTCACTGCATCGAACATATATTTGACTTACAACAACTTATACCAGATAGCTACTTGAGTAGATACTGCACTATCATGAAACGTTTGGCACTACGCTTTTTCAATCAACTGAACCCTCGAACCGAAATAAATGACTTTTCGCAATCAGGTCAAGACAGTGATCAATCGAGCTCACATATGACCATACAAGGCAGCTCCTCATCTCGATCCATTCCAACGATCAACAACGAAATATCCGATAGTTTGGGCACTCGTATGAGTCCTTTTTCAAGCCATAATACAATGCAGCCGCACACACAGGTATATTTAAAGTTTTGATAGTTTTAGAATCACGTGACGTGCTTATGTAGTCGATCCCTCTTATCCAGGCAGGAACGATGTCTTGAGTTCGCGAGTTTCATGGATTGGTTCCTTTTATTGTATCCTTTCTTTCTCGCATTTAATGCTATCGTATAGTTTGGTCTATGTCATTGCTTTCAACTATAGTTATTCTGTGTTGGAAGGGGCGTAGTGCGTAGTACGTAGCCCTCTTATACAGGTGGTCATATGACGTCGAATACCTGGCCCGTTGTGTATCTTTCTGTTCTGAAGCAAATTTTTTTTGTTGTGGGTTTGCCTGTTTATATGATTTCGATGCATATGTTTATAAGTTTGTTGAACATATTTCTCAGATACACACTGTTGACTGCACCAGCCCCGACTTCATATATGTTTGGTAATATCCTGACGTGTTTATTGTATATCGAGCAGACCGTATACGGTTGGATATTTTCAGGCGTTGCGTGCCATGACTTCGATAAATATGTCTCTGAGGTACACACTATCGATTGTATCAGCTCAGAGTTTGTTTGTGTTTGTTTGTATCTTGACATGGTCTATTATATATCGGTTTGATGCAACAAGTTGGATATTCCTTGGCGTTGTGTGTGTGCTATGGTTCCGATTGTTTTCTCTGAGGCACACATTCGCGGCGATTGCATAGGTCAATCTCTTCATCACACTCGTACATGTACAATATGCTCCACTGGGTGGGTTGTGAGCTGCTAAGTTTGAGTACGTATATGTATATCTGTGTAAGGTAGGGTGGCTGTTTGGACGGGGGAGGTGTACTTTGCCGTATCCGGTGCACTGAGTACTGTCACGTGCACCCGACCGAATACTTTCTTGTACATCATTCGCATCCAACTGTGAGCACGTTTCAGTAAGTATGAGTGTGGATTCGTGATTGTAGCTTGAGTCATGACCGTCTCAGTCGGTGCTGATCACGAAAAGTTCGTTCGCCATGTTGTACATCTTTTTTTTTACGGTTTAAAGTCGGGAATGCAATAATTTTGTCTCACACACGCTCATTCGAGCTGTTCTTTATTCTTGACACCCATTATTGATGGTTATAGAATTTATGTTTCGAATTATACATTACATATGATATATATTATAAAATATTATATATATATATTGTGTTCTGTATTATGTAGTATTATGTATTATTTCTATTATATCTAATATGTGTATATATAGAAATGAATATATATGCATGCATATATATATATATATATATATGTGTGTGTGTGTGTGTCTATGTGTCTATGTGTGTCTGTATATATGTATACATATATATATATATATATATATATATATATTCAGTCTATATATATATATTTATATATCTATATCTATATCTACATCTATATATATGTATGTATAGATATATATATATATATATATATGCATTTATATGTATATAAATATATATTCATTTCTATATGTATGTATGTATGTATATACAAATATATATATATATATATTCATTTCTGTATGTATGTATGTATGTATATGTATGTATGTATGTATGTATATGTATGTATGTATGTATATGTATGTATGTATATGTATATACAAATATATATATATATATATATATATAGTGTCGTCCGTGAAGATATATTTTTCGTGAGATAAATTTACACATATTAGCCTGGAGAGCATGATTGCCATTTACGTGCATGATCATGTACATATATATACATCTACAGTCTGAGGAATACAAATCTTGCGTAGGTTCTGCTATCTTCATCGTGAGCTCATGGAGGGTGCTGTACTTGTACATTCCTGGTATATGAGGGAACAGTTCGAGACCCCTAATGCTACTTGCGTTGTATCAATTCTACCTACAGTCTGCAGGAAATGAATGTGTGGGTGGGGGTCTACCAGGAGTCTTCCTCATACAATCAATCGCTGACTCACTGGTCAACTGGCCTGAAATGTCGGAAATCGAGCTCTTCCCCCTATTCGATCGCCTGATACGCTCCTCCGATAGCGGTAAGTAGGACCATGCTGAAGTGTGGAAATTTATGCCCATATTATATGTATATATATATATGTGTGTGTGTGTGTTTACGCACATACCATACCGGCACGTGTTGTGTGTATCTCCATAATTTAATGTTGTAAATTATGTATTATCCGCATGGTTCCATACCTGGTCGATTCAGTGTCTGTCATCGGTATACAAGGTAGCAGACGCTGGCATATTGTGACTAGAAAATATCTGAAGTTTTTTCATGTGCTGTACACTGTATGTTTTAACTCACCACCCCGTATAGATTAATCCCTTTATGTTTCTATATGTATATATATATATATATATATATATTCATGTAGAAAGGCGGTATGACAGTCGTGATTTAGGACCATATACTCTTGCAGTCACCCACAGATAGTCCTATTTCCAGGACCCTGTAGCCACATTCCGTCTAATGGTATTTCCACATATGTGCAGATGATACAACCGGGCAACGGTATCGAACAGAGGCCAAGTCCTGTATACCAGCACTCGCAGGCATTCTGGATGCTGCAGGGAAGCAGACGGTGGACTACACATCGCAACTGCTAGTACAGTGTCTCACCAGCCTGCGTTTCATTACTAAAGGTGTGTGCCAGCTGCTATTATGAGCAGTGAATATTGTGGGCCAAGTCGCTAACCTATCCTTAGATAACAATCAAGGGCTATCAATTCACTGTAGCGGATGATTGCTGCATGGATCAGGCCGTAGTATCATACTCACCACCCACTTCACGTTTGTGTACTCTGGCGGAGATTCTCAATACTCCGTGAGCAGTGAGGTCTGTGTATATCACGCCACTCCACTCTGTGTCTGTGCTCATACCTTATGTCTTCTCTGCAGGCGATCCCTACAACATCACCATAGCGACCAACCTGGACGTGCTGATCAGCTGCCGCAACATCATGCGTCACTTTGCGCACGACGCGAGCGTGCAGCGGTACTGCTGTATGATTTATCGGTCACTGACATTCAACCGCGCAGACAATCAGCGCCTGGTGGTAGAAATTGGTGTAGTGCCTCTGATCTACAAGGTACGTTGGGCCTGTGTGGGGTGTTGCGTGTGTGCGTGTGTGTGGGGTGTTGCGTGTGTGTGTGTAGGGAATTGCGATTGCGTGTACCCTCTCGAGGTGTGATTTGTGAACAGTGGGGTTGGCGATGTCAATGTGTGTGTCGCGGTGGTGGTACATCCCTGTGTCTGTGTGGTGATATCAATGTGTGGTGATGGAGAGCTGGGCAGTCTCACACATGCCTGGTTGATTTGTATGGGATTCGGGGTTTATTGGTGTGAAGTTTACCTTTGGTTAGCGGCTATTGATAATGTTACATGTACAGGCATGCCGATAGTAAACTTTACTATCTCCCTGTCTCTACGGCTCTAACATTTATCTATCCCAATACTCCACCAGGCCATAGCGAAGTTTCCGGATAGCCCTGAAGTTCCGGCGGCAGCGTTCATGTGCATACAAAACATCACCTGGCTGGTGGAAAGCAACCGCAACTCCATAGTCACAGACGGGGGACTGTTGATTATCATTGACTCTATGCGCGCTCACAGGTAAGGCGTGTTCTGTAAGGGACTATTATATCACGCAGCCGTGTGAAGTATCGATAGAGACTTTACCGTGACTACTATAGTATGTCTATCGCGTAGGTATCTATGTATGTGATAAGTGTAAGCGGAGATATTGAGCGTATAGGTATTTCCGAAGCATAGCCGGTAGTAGTTGTTCGCATCTGAGCAATCACGGCCTGACGCGGTAGTCGTCGAACCCGCACCCCTCTTCACGGACAAACCTAACACGTATGGCATACCTCCATCTTGCTTCTATTAGCGACAACGTCGATGTGCAGAAGTGGGGCTGTGGAGCTTTGCAGAACCTTGCCTGCTGCTTTCAGTGCACGTCCCTTCTGATACAAAAGGGCTCGCTCCGTCTGGTGCTACAGGCCATGGCTACACACCTGGCGGATCCCATAGTGCAGAACTACGGCCTGGGTGTGCTGAGGAACATTTCGTATCTGAGTAAGTAAACGTCACGTTTTCATATTATAGTGTTGGCTGGTTACAGGTATTTCAGTCCATCTGTCGTTCACCTCCACCCCAATCCCTACTGGTTTGAGTAGGATAGCTGTCTTATGGTAGAGTACATCCCACCCTCAAATCTCATCTCATTACAATCACATGGCGCGATTACAGCACCCCTTACCTTGACGCAACCAGTACATCTCGAGAAGTACAATTCCAATTTCAAAGGCAATGAGCCCCCTCTCTCATTTCACATCGTATTCAGTTTCGATAACTAGTAAAACTACAGACACGGGCACAAAGAACACAGCCTGCAGTTTATATTATGCATCACCTGGCGTCTCCCACCCCAATTCGTCCCAGAACCCAATACTCTTCGCAACGGGGTTGTGCTATTGATTTTCTTCTGCAGCGGTCTGTTCTATTACTAGTACGTCTCAATAGTACACTTGCAGAACAATATTCCGTAAGCAACATCCCACCCTCATCTCATCCAATACTTCCTTTCTTCGTTTGACCCACCTCAGAAACCAACCGCGTGTCTGTGGCTGACAGCGGCGCGTTTGAAACCGCGATCACTTCGCTGGTAAACTACAGCGCTGATTTGGACGTGCAAAACAGCGCGTACTCGTTCCTGCTGAACTCAGTGATAGATGTACCGGAGAACAAGGCCAAAATCCTGCGGTTTGACGCGCTTTTGCCCGCGATATTCCGCGCGCGCGCGAGGTTTCGCGACGATAAACGCTTTGCGGATAAGGTGGCGGTGTTATTGGATCAGTTGTCGGACCAGGGAAAGAGTATGTACTATGTTGATGCGGTGTCTACGGGAACTAACTCCCACTGTATCGATATATTGGAGGTATTCGATGTATTTGTAGGTAACTTTGGTATATATCTGCGCGAATTGATCGCATTTGAATTTGGTATACACTTGCATAGGTTTTTTATATTTCGAAGTAACTACTATGATGGTTGTGTGTATCTCTATCTGGTAGCACTTTAGATGTCGCATGTCATTCAGTAACTTCCCTTGCGCATCAAGTTCTTAAAAACAACCAAGCACACACAAACACATACATATATATATATATGTGTGTGTGTGTGTGTGTGTGTGTGTATTGTGTATATGTATAGATATTTATATATTGTTATATATATATTTATATTTATATATGTATATATATGTATGTATGTATATATATATATATATATGTGTGTGTGTGTGTATATATATATATACTTATATACTTATGTACTTACATACTTGTAAACTTGTAGACATGTACCTACTTATATGCACACACGCGCAAATACCACCACCATAGGTCACTATATTGTGCTGGAACGCGACATCGAACCCTTGTCGCTCTTCGAAGTGTCTCTGCGCAGAATGGCGCCGCTCTCGCCCTCCGACGACACACTGCTAGGGCGTTTGGGGGGTAGTGGGTTAAGCAGTTGTGACCCACGTGCACATACGAACCACGTGTACACCCATGCCACACCCCTGATGTCTGGGTCCTTGGATGAGTGTGTGCTCAACGGGCACTGTGGCCACAGGGAGCGGGACGGCGTAATTATGAGCGATCTGATTGAGCGAGAGACCGTGGCCCAATCAAAACCGGGCGATAAGGAAGTCTCACGCAGACCGAGCGCTTCTATGCATGGGATCCGCATGGGCGTGTGTGATGTGTGTAAGGGTGCGTATCTGAACTCGTTGGTGTTGGCAACGAAGGCTAAGGGTGAGAGATGGCTGCTGCACCGAGTGTGCGGGCGACGCTGTCACAGCGCAATGGTATGTGTGTACACGCAAAGCAAAAGCATTGTGTACTTTGTGTACATACACGATCGCACTTGTGTTAGCACGGTCATATGTGTGCACACAGGGGACCGTTATATGTGCACATACATCCACGCACACACGCATACGCGCACATCGCTAACTCTAGGTGTATGGGTATTGTATGCATGTAGTGTCCTACTGGTGTCTTCGTCCATGTAAGTATCTCGGACTGGCTTCACACTTGTTTTTGAACTTGGGAGGACTGCGTGTCTACAAAACAATTATTGGATCCACGTGTTCATAGCCGTGTCTACTGCACTTTTCCTGTCGAGTAAAACTTCTGAGTGGATATCGCGTAGGTAGTCGAGTTTTGCATGTAGTGCTTTAGAAAAAATACGGATGTAAGGTTTTCGGGTTTAGGGTTTAGAAATATTATATATGCAATTTAAAATTCTATTTGCATATAAAATTTAAAATTCTATATGCATATAGAATTTTTCCTTTCTGCTGCCAATCTCCGCAAAGAGTTGTTCGACTGTAAATCCGTTGGCACAGACTATTCTCGCGCTGTATCAGACGTTTGCTACGCTTATCAAATCTGTTTCAGCGATTTTCTATCTGTAGTCGGCCTATATGTACCTTTTTTATTATGTGGTAATGTTGATATGAATGTTTCGTTTAGATGAACGTTTATTTATAAAACGCACACGCGTATGTACAAAATAGGGATAAGACACATTATGGAAAATATTTGGTCCCCACTAGGCAAATATAGTCTGAAAGGCTTGCCTTTTTTTATCAGGTGGGGTTGTTTTACTAGCGACACATGGACTAATATCTTGTGTGCCTTTAATTATTGTAGATTAAAGCAGTCGATCTGACCCATAACGGTGGCAACCTCGCAACGTTCCAACCAGCATCAGCTGAAGACGAGCCGCTCATACCACTCCCGGCATGATGGCACCAAGGAACTGTGAATACATGCAAACCGGTATAGGCGTACAGATACACATTCCAGTATACGCGTTATACACGTGGATCCACAGACACATATACACACACATATATATATATATATATTTATATTTATATATATATAGGTATATATAGGTATATATAGGTATATATATATATATATAGGTATACATATGCGTAGCGAACACTTCCCATCACATGGTACATGGCTAGCGAGGGCCCATAACTAATGCAACAGTGCACGATCACATGCAATATACCCCGTGTGCGTTGGAATACTAGTGTGCGTTGGAATACCCAGTGTGCGCATGTGCCCATCACAGCCGTTGCTGCCACATTTGTACACAACGCTTACACTACCGTACTGTGCTGCCATGCACCGTGTTTCTTGCACACGCGCTCAAGCAGACACAGACAAGGTGATTCTAACACACACACAAAGTAAGCATTTTGTACAATGCTGTACAAATACACACACTTCATTGCTGTTGTCGGTCGGCTGCAAAATGTGTGTACCATATCGGCTTGGCGCACTGGTATGTGTGTGATATATATCTCACATATATGCGTTGTGTGTGAGGTGCTCATTGAAGCACATGTCCGTGTCCGTGTCACAACCGCCTGGTGCAACTTGAAGATACCAGCCACGCATGCCACGCACAAACACACTAGATACACTTTCACTAAAACCTCACGCGAGCGAATAAGCCCAATTACGCCTGCGGTACTAGGCCTGATTAAGGCGAGTCTGTGGTCCAAAGGTTGGGGCGGTTCGGTGAACCTGCGTTTGTAATAGCCGCTTGGGAACGACCAGCCCTTATAGTATCCGAACCACTTTTGTGTTGTCGGCCTCAGCAGTACACATGCACACCAAACCACACTTGCCCACGGACACGTCAGGCCCAAGTACGCACGAGCGCATTTGCGCGTACACGTGAGCAGACGCGCACTACACTCACGAACATAAATAAGTATTATTACGTGGGTGTTAGATTGCATGCATACACACACTGCCCTCCCGGTGACCGAATGCGCCGTGATTGCGTGCGTGGGAGGTAGTTGGGTGGTGTGCACTGCATGCGCCTCTCAATAGTAAATCTGATATGAAAGAGACTAGAGACTAAAAATAGATTAGGGACTGTACCACCTCAATGCGGCGGTTGCGCGTAGCTAACAAAACCCGTGCACACGACAGACGAGCTCCTGATTCCAAGGAGAGCGATTTTCTCCATTGGAGTGGTATCATCGGTGGAGCAAGAGTATGAGCACCCGAATAGATGGCTGAATAAAGTCCGCCGCGAGACTTAAAATAGCACATATAATTAAAGTATAAATTCAAATAATGATGGTCTGTACTGCTTGTAGTGAAAACCTCAAGTCGAATAATGATGGTCTGCTTGTAATTTAGATATAAATTAGAAAAAAAGAAGAACTTCGTTGCTTCCAATAAGAATAGAAATTTGATAACTGATGGTCTGGATAGCTCATAGAATATAACTTGATTAATGATTGTCTGTATCGTTTGTAGTTGAAATATATATTTGAATAAGGATGGTCTGGATTGCTTGTAGTTAAATTCGGATAATGATCGTCTATTGTCTGTAACTAGAATATAGTTTTGAATAATGATGGTCTGGATTGCTTGTAATTAGAATATACCCCTAAATAATGATGGTATGTATTGCTTGTGATTGGGATATAAATTTAAATAATTATTGCCTGTATTGCTAGTAATTATAAATTAGAAGTGGAAAAATGATGGTCTGTAATGATGGTCTGGATTGCTTCCAATAAGAATATATATTTAAAAATTGAAGGTATGCATTGCTCCAGTATAAAAAAACATAAATTGTCATATTGATCTTGAATACTGATGGTCTGGATTGATTATAAATAGATTTGAAAATGATTAATGACTGGACAGCTTGTAGTTAAAATGCATATACGAACAATGGTATGGACTGCTTGTAGTTAGCATATGAATTTAGGAATACCTATAGTATGTATTGCTTGCAATCAGAATAAAAAATTGAAAAATGATGGTCTCTCTGGCGTAAAATTAGGATATAAACTCGCATTTGTCTGTATTGTTTGTAAGAAAGATTGTATAAAATTGGATGGTGATCGTCCGTATTGCTTCCACTTACAATGCACATTCAAATATTGATGGTCTGGATTGCTTGTATTTAGCATAAAAGTTTGAATTATGATGGTCTGGACTGCTTGTAATTTGAACATAAATTTGTATATTGCTGGTCTGGATTGCTTTTAATAGAGTATAAATTCGAGCAATGATGGTCTCTGATACTTAACATTTGAATATATATCAGAATAATATGTTTATAAATTAGAATACTGACGATCTAGATTGCATGCAATATAAATATAACTTTGATTAATTACTGTCTGTTCTTCTTGTAATTAATTAAACTTTAAATTTAAATACTGATGGACTGTATTGTTTCTACTTAGGATATAAATTTGTATAATAATGGTCTGGATTGCTTATAATTAAAACGTAAACTTGAATAATGATGGTCTGGATGGCTACCTTTAAGAATATAAGTTTGAAAAATGATGGTCGGTATTGGTTCTCATTAGAATATAAATATAAATTATGATGGTCTGTTCTTGCAATTAGAATAATGACGGTCTGCATTGCTTCTATTTAATTAATATAAATTGATTGGATACTGATGGTCTGGATTGCTTTTAGTTAGAATATAGAGGAAAATAATGATAGTCAGTTTTGCTTGTAGTTTAAGCAAAAAAAAATGAATTCTTTATAGTCTGGATTACTTGCAATAAGAACATAGGTTTCATAGATGGCGGCTGAATTGCTTGTAGTTAGAATTTAAAATGGAATATTCGTCTAGACTGCTTGTAATTACCATATGATTTTAAATAATGATGGTATGTATTGCTTGTAGCTAAAATTTGAATTTGAATAATGATGATATGAAATGCTTGTTAAAAATTCGATTATTAGTTTGATTACTGAATGTGTAAAATGACTACCATTATACAATGGCTTTTAAAAATGATGCTCTGGATTGCTTCTCAATGGAATAAGTGGTTAGGACTTAAATTTGGATACTGGTCTGTTCTGCTTGTATTTAGGATATGAATTTGAAGAATCACAGTCGGTATTGCTTTAAAATAGAATATCAATTTGAATGATAATGTCTGTTCCTAAAAATTAGAATACAAATTTGATCAATGATGATCTGTGTTGCTTTGAAGTAGATTATAAATGCAAATACTGATGGTCTGGATTGCTTTTAATAAGAATATAGCTTTGATTAATATCGATCTATATTGCTTGTATTTAGACTGTAAATTTGAATACTGATGGCCTGTATCACTTCTACTTAGGATATGAATGTGAATCATGATGCTCTGGAATACTTGAATATAAAAATATATATTTGAATAGTGATGGTCAGGTTTGATTGTAACATAAACATAAATTGGAATAATGATTGTTTAGATTGTTTGTTGTTAGAACATGAATTTGAATATTGATGATCATGATTACTAGCAATAAATATGTAAATTTGACTAATGATTGTCTGGATTGCTTATAATTAGACACTGATTTTAAATACTAATGGCCTGTATTCCCTCTACTAAGAAAATAAACTTGAACAATAATAGACTGTATTGATATAAATTTCAAAAATGATGATCTGTATTGATACAAATTTGAATAGTGTTGTTCTGTATTACTTGTGATTAAACTGTGAATTGGAATAATGATGGTCACGATTGCTTGTAACTAGAAATAGAATTGAAACAATGGTCTGTATTAGTATAAATTTACAATAGTGATAGTCTCCGATTGCTTGTAGTGCG